AGTCCCTGAAAAGGTAGGCCTAACCAGTTATTTCAGTCCCCAGAAGAACTTTCACAGTTCCAAGCAGCTTTTTTCGTCCCTTTCATCTCTTCCATTTTACATAAAAGAGAGTCTTTGTTCCTGGGGGAGAGGTGGTGGAAGGTAATCTTGTTAAATTCAAATCTGTAATCTTAGGCCTGAATTTACAATTTTCTTCCTTTACCCACCGGTCTTGAGTGTTTTTCCGCTATGGCTAACTCCACAAATTGGGATGGGAAGCTATAAGATTAAAAACAATTTGTTTTTTCAACCTTAGTGAGTTGGAGTAGAGGTTGTTGAAACCAGTCCTTAGATCCATAATGAAGTGGAGTGGACTGGGAAGGGGAGACTTAGCAGGAGGGCCTGAGATCTTTTAATTCCATCCAGCTTTTTTGTATCATTGGCATAGGTGCATTTCTTCAACAGTTTCTTCTATGATAAACTCCGTACCAAGGGTTATGATGGGGTGAAAAGGTGGACCAAAAACGTGAGTTATGAATTCACATCTACTTGTGCAACACTTTGCTTCTGAAGAATTAGAGTTCTGTTTTCTGTGAGCCCTTTTCCCAACCCTGTTCATTCAGTCTTTCAAATATTTATTAAATGTCTTCTCTGTGCTAGGTATTGTTCTAGGCATTAAGGATACAGTATTAAACAAGGAAAACTTCTTGCCTTTATGGGGTGAGAATAAATAAGCAAGTTAAATTTCAGCTAGTGATAAGTGCTGCAAGCAAATTAAAACAGTCATGTAGTAGGATGGGAAGTGAGTAGTTTAGACTGGGTGGTCTGGGAAGGCCTTTCTTAGCTGAGACTTGATGAGGAGCCAGCCATGTGCAGATCTGGGGGAAGAGTGTTCTAGGGAAAGGGAACAGCAAGTACGTGGGATGCAAAGTGAGAAAGAACATGTTTAAATAACGGAGGGCCTGTATGGGTGGCTTTTGTGGTTAGAGCAGAGTGAGCAAAGGGAAAATAAGAGAAAATTTGTTTAAAGAGGAGATCTTGTAGGAATGGAGCATAGGCTGAAGAAGGCAGATCTTATTCTGTATGTACTGAGAAGCCATTGAAGAGTTTTAAGCAGGCTGGGAATTGCCTCGTTTTTTAAACTCCTGTTTCAATGACAGATTGAAGGGGGGGCCAGAGTGGCAGCCGGCAGACTAACTAAGAGTGTAGCACAGAAGTCCAGATGAGAAACGTGGACGAGAGTGGGAAAGGCAGAGATAGAAGTAGTTTTTTTTTTTTTTTTTTTTAAAGATTTTATTT